GAAGGGGGGCGCTCAAACCCAAAAAGAGGTGGGGAAGAAGCCTATGGAACTGAGGAGTGCATTCCTCATCATTACACCCTCCCAGATTAGTGTAGTAAACTTTATTACATGGGGAAGGGGGGTACTCAAAATCTATTTCTATAGACTGACCAGGGTTCAGCTTTAAGACTGATTTTTTAATAGAATGTATTAACTTTTACATACATTTGCAAGAAAAAGTATGTGAACCCCTTGGGATACGTGGAGTTTTGCATGAATTGGGCATAAAATGTGCTCTGAACGTCATCTAAGTCACAACAATAGAAGAACACAGTCTGCTGAACATGATACTACACAAACATTAGATGTTGCCATGGTTTAATTGCACATAACATGTAAACATTCACAGTGCAGGGAGGAAAAAGTATGTGAGGCCCTAGCTTAATGACTTCTCCCAGAGCTAATTGGCGCCAGGAGTGAGCCAACCTTGACTCCAATCAGTGTGATGATATTGGATGTGTTGCTGACAGCTGTCCTGCCCTTAAAAAACACACACCTGTTTTGGGTTTACTGGTTTCAAGAAGCACTGTCTGATGTGAACCATGCCTTGCAGAAAAGAACTCTCAGAAGACCTACGATCAAGAATTGTTGACTTGCATGAAGCTGGAAAGGGTTACAAAAGTATCTCCAAAAGCCTTGATGTTCATATGTCCATGGTAAGACAGACTGTCTTCAAATGGAGAAAGTTTTAGCACTGTTGCTACTCTCCCTAGGCGTGGTCGTCCTGTAAAAATGACTGCAAGAGCACAGCTCAGAATGCTGCATGAGGTAAAGAAGAATCCCAGAGTCAGTATCTGTTCCTATTCTGTATGTAAAAGACCTACAGAAATCTCTGGCATGTGCTAACATTTTTGTTGACACATCTACAATAAGGAAAACTTTAAACAAGAATGGAGTACATGGGAGGACACCACGGAGGAAGCCATTGCTGTCCAAAAAGAATATTGTAGCACATTTGAAGTTTACAAAAGAGCACCTGGATGTTCCACAGCACTACTGGCAGAATATACTGTGGACAGATGAAACCAAGATTGAGTTGTTTGGGAAGAACACACAACACTATGTGTGGAGAAAAAAAGGCACAGCACACCAACATCAAAACCTCATCCCCACTGTAAAACATGGCGGAGGGAGCATCATGGTTTGGGGCTGCTTTGCTGCCTCAGGGCCTGGACGGATTGTTGTCATTGATGGGAAAATGAATTCCAGAGTTTATCAAGACATTTTGCAGGAAAACGTACGACCATCTGTCCGCCAACTGAAGCTCTGCAGAGGATGGGTGATGCAACAGGACGATGACCCAAAGCATACAAGTAATTCAACAAAACAATGGCTGCAACAGCACAGAATACGCCTTCTGGAGTGGCCCAGTCAGAGTCCTGACCTCAACCAGATTGAAATGCTGTGGCATGACCTTAAGAGAGCGATTCACACCAGACATCCCAAGAATATTGCTACACTGAAACAGTTTTGTGAAGAGGAGTGGTCCAAAATTACTCCAGATCGTTGTGCGGGTCTGATCTGCAACTACAGGAAACGTTTGGTTGAGGTTATTGCTGCCAAAGGAGGGTCAACCAGTTATTAAGTCCAAAGGTTCACATACTTTTTCCTCCCTGCACTGTGAATGTTTACATGTTATGTGCAATTAAAGCATGGCAACATCTAATGTTTGTGTAGTATTATGTTCAGCAGACTGTGTTCTTCTATTGTTGTGACTTAGATGACGTTCAGAGCACATTTTATGCCCAATTCATGCAAAACTCCACATAATCCCAAGGGGTTCACATACTTTTTCTTGCAACTGTATGTTGTGTGTATTAAGCTGAACTCCTTTTATTATTATTATTATTATTATTATACAGGATTTATATAGCGCCAACAGTTTGCGCAGTGCTTTACAATATAACGGGAGACAGTACAATTACAATACATTTCGGAATAGGAGGGCCCTGCTCGTGGAGCTTACACAAGCACATAAACAAAAAAAAAGAAGAAAAAAAAACTACACTCCTTTTAGTACACATTTTCCACTTAACATTCTAAAATTAAAGCTCTGATACTCTCCTGTGGTTTGCTTGAAACTCTTTTTCCTGTTTACATTCATTCTGTTTAGACAATCTGCTTGTTTCTGTAACTAAATATACTTGCTTGCTTCCTTTTTTCCCAAGGATCTGTCAGACTAGAAATAAAATGGTTGGTTGCTAAGAAAAAAAAAGTCTTAACAAATAAATCCAAAAGGGTCTAAATTAACTTTTATATTTTGTAGCTAGCCTGATTAGCCTGGGAGAAAAGAAAATACAGTTGAAAAGCTCTGCAATATTTCATTGGGCCAGTAGGAGGAGCATTGACAGCATGTGGAGCTTTTGAAGACTGGAGAAGAAAGGATCAGATTTTAGGTCCGCTGTGTTAAAGGAAAAAAAAAAAAAAAAAGCTGCTCAGTGAGATTTTATGAGCTTTTTATAGCTTCTTGATCATGTGCTGCCAACTGGAATAATAAAGAATCTGGTTTTGGAAAGCGTAAAGCTAAGACAAAATGTTTACATATCCCTTGATGACTATGCCAATATGAGTACACTTTTTAAAATGCTTTTTAAATTGTATATCAAATCTTGTCAACTTGAAAAATACAAAGTTAATTCACTAAAGGGTTCTGAGATGTAAGTAGCTGGCTGGATGTGACCGTGGTTTTAGGATATCTGCCTGGACTTTCAAACTTTTTAACTGAGTTTTAGTTGCTGTCTGGGGCTAAAAATAGAGGACGTAACAATTTAAGGCTCAATATTCGTGAAGTGATGTCCCCCATAAAATCAAATCCAGAAAGCAAGAGAACTGCTACCATGCAGTAATCATGCAGTCATAAAATACTAAGTATTGCCTCCAGTATACAGAATGAAAACAGATACTGAGAAATATATGCAGCATACAGAACTAGAGAAGTGCTACTCTGCACAGTCCAGACATACAGAATAAGAACAGATACAGAGAATTACACCCAGCATACAAGGCAAGAGAAGTGGTACTGTGCACAGCCAAAACATACAGACAGAAATAGGATCAAATACTGAGAATTAAACCCAGCATACAGAACAAGAGAGGTGGTACTGTGCACAGTCCATAGATAAAGAACAAGATCAGATACTGAGAATTACACCCAATATACAGAACAAGAGAATGGTACTGTGCACAATTCATACATACAGAATAAGATCAGATACTGAGAATTACACTAAGTATACAGAACAAGAGAAGTGGTACTGTGCACAATTCATACATACATAATAAGATCCGATACTGAGAATTACACCCAGCATATAGAACAAGAGAGGTGGTACTGTGCACAGCCCACACATGCAGAATAAGATCAGATACTGAGAATTACACTAAGTATACAGAACAAGAGAAGTGGTACTGTGCACAATTCATACATACATAATAAGATCCGATACTGAGAATTACACCCAGCATATAGAACAAGAGAGGTGGTACTGTGCACAGCCCACACATGCAGAATAAGATCAGATACTGAGAATTACATCCAGTATACAGGACAAGAGAAGTGGTACTGTGCATAATTCATACATACCAGGGGCGGACTGACCATTTGGAAACTTGGGCACTGCCCGAGGGCCTGGGGTCAGTAAGGGGCCCCATGAGATGCCCCTGGTACCTTTTTCATAGGCTTTTTTGAGTTTGGGCAAGGACACAGGGGCCCCATGATCCCTTTTTGCCCAGGGGCCCCATGAGTTGTCAGTCCGCCCCTGATACATACATAATAAGATCAGATACTGAGAATTACACCCAGTATACAGAATAAGAAAAGTGGTACTGTGCACAATTCATACATACAGAATAAGATCAGATACTGAGAATTACACCCAGTATACAGAATAAGAGAAGTGGTACTGTGCACAGCCCATACATACAGAATAAGATCAGATACTGAGAAATACACTAAGTATACAGAACAAGAGAAGTGGTACTGTGCACAATTCATACATACATAATAAGATCCGATACTGAGAATTACACCCAGCATACAGAGAACAAGAGAGGTGGTACTGTGCACAATTCATACATACAGAATAGAATAGGATCAGATACTGAGAATTACACCCAGTATACAGAATAAGAGCACATGGTACTGTGCATAGTTCATCCACACAAAATAAAGAAAGTTTCTGAGAATTACACGTAGCATATACAGTAGAAAAATAAAAGTAGGTACTTTGCCTAGTTCATACATGCAGAATAAGAACAGATACTGAGAATTACCCCATCATATAGGACAAGAAAAGTGGTACTGTGCACAATTCATACAAAGAGAATAAGGACATATAATGAGAATTACACATAGCATTGAGAACAAGAGAGAAGTGGTACTTTGCCTAGTTCATACATACAGAATAAGAACAGATACTGAGAATTACACCATCATATAGGATAAGAAAAAAGGTACTGTGCACAGTTCATATATACAGCATAAGAACAGATACTGAGAATTACATCCAGCATACAAAATAAGAGAAGTGGTACTGTGTATAGTTCATACATACATAATAGGATCAGATACTGAAAATTACATCCAGTATACAGAGCAGAAGAAGTGGTACTGTGCAGAGTCCATACCAGGGGTGGACTGACAACTCATGGGGTCAGTCCACCCCTGGTCCATACATACAGAATAAGAACAGATACTGGGAATTACACCTAGCATATAGGACACAAAAAAGTGGAACTCTGCACAATCCATATATACAGAATAATAACATAATAAGAATTATACTCAGCATACAGAATAAGAAAAGTGGTACTGTGCAGAGTCCATACATACAGAATAAGATCAGATACTGAGAATTACACTAAGTATACAGAACAAGAGAAGTGGTACTGTGCACAATTCATACATACATAATAAGATCCGATACTGAGAATTACACCCAGCATATAGAACAAGAGAGGTGGTACTGTGCACAGCCCACACATGCAGAATAAGATCAGATACTGAGAATTACATCCAGTATACAGGACAAGAGAAGTGGTACTGTGCATAATTCATACATACCAGGGGCGGACTGACCATTTGGAAACTTGGGCACTGCCCAAGGGCCTGGGGTCAGTAGGGGGCCCCATGAGATGCCCCTGGTACCTTTTTCATAGGCTTTTTTGAGTTTGGGCAAGGACACAGGGGCCCCATGATCCCTTTTTGCCCAGGGGCCCCATGAGTTGTCAGTCTGCCCCTGATACATACATAATAAGATCAGATACTGAGAATTACACCCAGTATACAGAGTAAGAAAAGTGGTACTGTGCACAATTCATACATACAGAATAAGATCAGATACTGAGAATTACACCCAGTATACAGAATAAGAGAGGTGGTACTGTGCACAGTCCTCCCATACATACAGAATAAGATCAGATACTGAGAAATACACCCAATATACAGAACAAGAGAGGTGATACTGTGCACAGTCCATAGATACAGAATAAGATCAGATACTGAGAAATACACCCAATATACAGAATAAGAGAGGTGATACTGTGCACAGTCCATAGATACAGAATAAGATCAGATACTAAGAAATACACCCAGTATACAGAACTAGAGAAGTGGTACTGTGCACAATTCATACATACAGAATAGGATCAGATACTGAGAATTACACCCAATATACAGAATAAGAGAGGTGATACTGTGCACAGTCCATAGATACAGAATAAGATCAGATACTAAGATATACACCCAGTATACAGAACGAGAGAAATGGTACTGTGCACAATTCATACATACAGAATAGGATCAGATACTGAGAATTACACCCAGTATACAGAATAAGAGCACTGGTACTGTGCATAGTTCATCCACACAAAATAAGAAGAGTTTCTGAGAATTACACATAGCATATACAGTAGAAAAATAAAAGTGGTACTTTGCCTAGTTCATACATGCAGAATAAGAACAGATACTGAGAATTACCCCATCATATAGGACAAGAAAAGTGGTACTGTGCACAATTCATACAAAGAGAATAAGGACATATAATGAGAATTACACATAGCATTGAGAACAAGAGAAGTGGTACTTTGCCTAGTTCATACATACAGAATAAGAACAGATACTGAGAATTACACCATCATATAGGATAAGAAAAAAGGTACTGTGCACAGTTCATATATACAGCATAAGAACAGATACTGAGAATTACATCCAGCATACAAAATAAGAGAAGCGGTACTGTGCATAGTTCATACATACATAATAGGATCAGATACTGAAAATTACATCCAGTATACACAGCAGAAGAAGTGGTACTGTGCAGAGTCCATACCAGGGGTAGACTGACAACTCATGGGGTCAGTCCACCCCTGGTCCATACATACAGAATAAGAACAGATACTGGGAATTACACCTAGCATATAGGACACAAAAAAGTGGAACTCTGCACAATCCATATATACAGAATAATAACATAATAAGAATTATACTCAGCATACAGAATAAGAAAAGTGGTACTGTGCAGAGTCCATACATACAGAATAAGATCAGATACTGAAAATTACACCCAGTATACAAGACAAGAGAAGTGGTACTGTGTGCAGTCCATATATACAGAATAAAATCAGTTACTGAAAATTACACCCAGTATACAAGACAAGAGAAGTGGTACTGTGCGCAGTCCATATATACAGAATAAAATCAGTTACTGAAAATTACACCCAGTACACAAGACAAGAGAAGTGGTACTGTGCGCAGTCCATATACAGGTGAAACTCGAAAAATTAGAATATCGTGCAAAAGTTAATTTATTTCAGTAATGCAACTTAAAAGGTGAAACAAATATTTGAGATAGACTCGTTACATGCAAAGGAAGATAGTTCAAGCCGTGATTTGTCATAATTGTGATGATTACGGCTTACAGCTCATGAAAACCCCAAATCCACAATCTCAGAAAATTAGAATATTACATGCAATCAATAAAACAAGGATTGTACATAGAACAATATCGGACCTCTGAAAAGTATAAGCATGCATATGTACTTAGTACTTGGTTTGGGACCCTTTTGCAGCAATTACTGCCTCAATGCGGCGTGGCATGGAAGCTATCAGCTGTGGCACTGCTGAGGTGTTATGGAAGACCAGGATGCTTTAATAGCGGCCTTCAGCTCTTCTGCATTCTTCGGTCTCATGTCTCTCATCTTTCTCTTGGCAATGCCCTATAGATTCTCTATGGGGTTCAGGTCAGGCGAGTTTGCTGGCCAATCAAGCACAGTAATCCCACAGTAATTGAACCAGGTTTTGGTGCTTTTGGCAGTGTGGGCAGGTGCCAAGTCCTGCTGGAAAATGAAGTCAGCATCCCATAAAGCTTGTCTGCGGAAGGAAGCATGAAGTGCTCCAAAATCTCCTGCTAGACGGCTGCGTTGACCCTGGACTTAATGAAGCACAGTGGACCAACACCAGCAGATGACATGGATCCCCAAATCAACACAGACTGTGGAAACTTCACACTGGACTTCAAGCATTTTCCAGTGAGTGCCTCTCCATTCTTCCTCCATACTCTGGGTTCTTAGTTTCCAAATGAGATGCAAAAGTTGCTCTCATCAGAAAAGAGGACTTTGGACCACTGAGCAATAGACCAGGTCTGTTTTTCTTTAGCCCAGGTAAGATGCTTCTGACATTGTTTGTTGTTCAGGAGCAGCTTGACAAGAGGAATATGAAATTTGAAGACCATGTACAGGATCTCTCTGTGTGTGGTGGCTCTTGATGTACTGACTCCAGCCTCAGTCCACTCCTTGTGAAAGTCCCCAACACTTTTGAATGGCCTTTTCCTGACAATCCTCTCCAGGCTGCGGTCATCCCTGCTGCTTGTGTACCTTTTTCTTCCACGCTTTTCCCTTCCACATAACTTTCTATTAATGTGCTTTGATACAGCACTTTGGGAACAACCAACTTCTTTTGCATATATACAGAATAAAATCAGATACTGAGAATTACACCCAGTATACAAGACAAGAGAAGTGGTACTGTGCACAGTCCACACATGCAGAATAAGATCATATACTAAGAATTACACCTAGTATACAAGACAAGAGAAGTGGTACTGTGCACAGTCCACACATACAGAATAAGTTCATATACTGTGAATTACACCCAGTATACAAGACAAGAGAGCACAGTCCATACATACAGAATAAGAACTGATGCTGAAAATGACACTCAGCATCCAGAAGAAGAGAAGTAGTACTGTGCACAGTCCCTGCATGCAGAATAATACCAGATACTGAAAATTACACACTGCACACAGACATAGCACTGTGTCATGTTTACAAAGAAAAGACAAAAACAGAGAAAAAGTGGCTGGGTCTGTGGTGTATGTGAGGAAAGGGTGAGAGGGGTGAAACAACAGGGTGACTGACTCCAAGATTTTAGTATTAGTTAACATGAATGCAAAATGGGCTATAAGTTGACCAAAGCAGGCTTCTGTGGGGAGGAAAAGTATTGGAACTGTCTAGATGTGGTGTCCTTCCAGTTTTATCAACTTCTGAAATTACAGAAATAAAAAATGCAGCACCTATGTCTGTTGTTATTTCCACTAACACACTCTGAGCAATTCCATAAATGTCCTACTACATCTTAAATTTAATTTTCAAAATCTTCTCTTGCACAAACTAGCATGGAGGAAACTGAAAAGGGTTTAATTTTTACAGCTGTTTAATAAAGTATATGTGCTGACCTCCTTCTAGAAATGCTAGTTGTCTGGATGTCATGCTAAAGCTTGCCATAGATGGATCAAAGTCACTGCTGAACTGGCTGAATATTAGTCCACCTATGGCTGTTTCCATTTGATCTAACTATCGTCTTCTGTTGAACGGGTGTGTTGAAAAACTTTTTTTGATCAGCAGCTGCAGCCACTCGGCTTTGGCTGCTGATCAGTGTATTTTGACAGCAGTGGAGTCGAACTGTCAGCACGCAATAGCACAGCCAGGAGGATTCCTCCATCTACCTAGTTTTTGTGGATAGAGAAATCTGTTAATTTTTTTTGGTTTGACTCCAGACTGAACAACAACAAAAAATTAAAAATCTATGGGCATCTCAACACTTTGGCTTTATTATTTTCTGAATCATTGATGCTGAAAACCAGATAAAGTCAGGAGTCATTATCTGTATACTTGTTGCAGATCAATGACTAAAATTACTGAATTCAGAAGGTCAGCAAGGCAGCCTGGCAGCTAGTATTTTTATTAGAAAAAGTCAGCAGTGGTGGTCTCTATATTTTCTGTTGACAGGTTCAAATATGTTGCATATGTTGATAAGTTTTTTTTTTTTTCACTAATATACAAAAGTTCTGTGCATATACAATATAGTGCAAATTATAAATAGCAAAGAAAACTAGTGAATAGAGGGGCAGGATGTTTCTAGGTCCACAGAGCGTGATGACGTCACAAACTTAGACTTTTCCCATGATGTCATCACATTCTGTGAACCTGAAAGCAGCCCACCTCTATTGGGACCGGCAGCGATTCACTTACGTGCTATTTTTACTGCTTTTTTAACTATGTTACTTGGTTTAAATAAATAAGAAGCGCTTTTTATCAGTTTTACATATGCAGTTTTTCTTTTAATTATGGTACACTGTTGAACCAGAGGGTGATCTGTGAGCACTGACCTGAAGTGGAGACTGTGGGCGGCTCTATGGTGGAACCCTGGCCAAATAACAAGCTCGTTTTTGACTGCTCTGTAATAGGGGGTCAAAGCGTTCTGGTAAGTTGGAGCCATTTAGTGTTTGAGGGAGGTACACACTGGAGTATGAATATATGGACACTTGCTGAAGATTTCACACTCTACACATTTGGCACTTTATTGGACTTTTTTCACTTTTACTGGACTTTATTGATATAATTGAGTTCACTTGTTTTCTTATTTATAATTTGCACTATATTGTATATGCGCCTATACTTTAGTATATTATTTGTTGTAACCAATTTATATCTGTTAGTGTGTTTACTGCTATATTCTTGTTACATTTTCACTTTTAG